CATTGAAAACTTATCTTCCACAGCTCTATTCACATCATGCACAAACACATCTGTCTCTCCTCCTTCCCTGTTCCTCGCCATCATCCCTGCCGTGTAAATTGCACTCATCCTCCCGGGTGCTTCATCATGATATCCGGTCGGTGCATCCACCATTATCAAATCCCATTTTATCTCATAAACTTCCTTTGGCAAACCCTTCAACGCAAGTTGGCAGATAGAATATTTTGGATCACCAATGGCTGTGCACTCCATTCCTCTGCCAACCTCCATTAAAGCATCAGCTTGATTCACCTTGGTATCATACGTGACATGGTACGATTCCAGCGTGGGGAACCTTTGTTTTATTTGCTCTATCCATGCTTCGTCTTCTTCCAGGAAAGTGGTTCGACCACCATGGTTGAGTGCACTCCACATAAGGCTGTCATGGCCTAGGCCAAAAACCAAGAAGTTGCAGGGCGATTTCTTTTGCAGAACTTTTGCCGTCACTGATATTTCTTTGTGCGTCTGTTGTGGGGTGATTGCTGAGGTTGTGTAATGGATGATTGCCTGAGAGAGCGAGCGAGGGATCTTGTTGCAGATTCTCGAGCAGTTTCTTGAGGTTTTTGGAGAAACATTATGTAAACTAGGAGATGGATTGTTATCAATGGAAGATGATAAATTTGTTCTCAACAAAAAGAGAATGAACAAAGCAAGAAGAACTCCAAGAAGGAGCTTGAGATTAATGGGTTGATGGGTTTTAGGCCTCATGACTAAATTGATTTGCAGAGGGGAAGAGGAAGAGTTATGGACAACTTATAATATGGTTAGGTCAAGATGTGAGAGATGGAGGAAAAGGAAAAGATGTTTGAGGAATGGCAATCATGTTGGCTTGGTTGCAGAGTTACAATTTTGGTGATCTGGAATAGAAAGATTTAAAGTTGATAATTAGAAATGCTTAGAGATGAAGGGAAGAAAGAAGGGAGTGGTTGATGAAGACGAGAGATCTAACCTAAAAGATTCTGAATGAAGCAAAAACACAAGAGGTTTGGTAGATGTACAACGTTTGGTCAAGTGTTTATTAATTCGATACGAACACTTTTCTTGAATCCTTCTTTAATTTACAACCTTTTTTTTTTTTTTTTTTTGAAAAAAAGTAAGAATACGTTGACAAGATTGCTTCTTCTGGTGCTGTGATCAAACGTTAAAAAGCTGAAGATGTTTAACCATAAATGTTGTTTTAATTTTATTGTTTGTATATTTTGAATAATAAATTAAAATAGTTACTTAGAAACTTAAATTGATATAGATAATTATTTATATTCTAACATCATCAATCTATAAATTTATCAGTCTGAAAGTATGGATTAGACATAAATTCATCATAATTTGTATAAAATTAATTTTTTAATGAATGTTGAGGTACTCTAATTTTGATATTGTTTTAAATCATATCATCTTAGGTTAAAATATGTATAATTTTTTATTTTATATTGGATTATAGATTAAAAAGTAATTAATTTATAATATTTAATTTAATTGAATTAAAATTTATTTATGAGTATACTAATGATGAATTAAATAAAAATTAATAGTCTCTTAATTAAAAACATAAATAATAATTAAGTATATCTTTATAATTATATTATATAATGTGCACAGAATGTAAGTCTATTTTGACACCTGTAAAAATTTATTTTTTAAAATATTTTTAAATAATAAAGAAATCTAAATTCTAAATCAATTAATTCAAAAAATATAAAATAAAAAATTTTAG